GTTTCTGTGCCGCTCTCGTGGTGCCTTGGAGTCCGTCGGAAAGGCTGCAGCACATGCTGCTTTCTGTCACATGCGCTCCAGGAGGCAGGGTCCCTGGGCTGGGGTGTAGGGTGCCAACACGTGGGAACAGTCCTCCTCTCTCTCGCTGCCACAAATCAGAATCCCTCGGGGAGCAAAGGGGATGGATGGTGTGAGCTGAGTCTAACAGAAAAGGGCACGTTCTGTTTAGGCGAGGGGGCAGGTTCCGAAGTCTCTGCAGACTCTGGCGGAGAAGGAAAGCAGCGTTATCTAGCAACGAGACATCTACCATCCAAATCCGTTTTGTGCAGCCATCTCTCGTGTTTCGGGAGCTCAGAGTAGCAACCCCGGTGGAGTGTGGGACAGGGGCTAGCTCGTTCGCTGTTGTGAGAGGTTGGGGTTGAAGCGGTGTGGAGGAGAGTGTTCTTTTCCAATGAACACATCGGGCAGGATTAGATGTGGGAAGTGAAAGCGACAGATGCTGAAACTGATGGCTTTTGTTCAGTATCCAAGCATTGAGCTGGAAGAAGAGATGGCTATATTTAGGGACAGGTTAGGATTTGTGTGTTTTCCTTCCTTTTAATCCCAGTTTCTGTGTTATAACCAGAAGAAGCTTTTACGACTTGAGGGTTCTCCGGAGACCCCAGAATCAATGGAGTAAAGACGGGGACCTTTAGCAGCTGGGCTATATTCTGAACCCTGTGAGCTCAAATAAAAGAGGGTGAAATTGGTACTGTTCTTGCAGCTGAAATGGAGAGACCCTGGCTTTTAAGTGAAACACATTTCATTTTTTAAAAAGGGCTTTGTATATAATTGTGCACAACTTCAGCTGTTCAGCAACACAAGAGGGAAATTATCTGAAAGCAGATCTGAAATGTTTAGTGGACTGCCTTGGTTTTAAAATGTCTTTTCACTGAATGCTTCTCCTGTATAAGAGAAGCAGATATTCTTTTTCTTACAAGCTCATAATTGCGAGTTTTCCCCCTCAGAGAATCAGGGGATAATAAAAGCTTCAGTCTGTATAGAATCAACAGTACTGAATTACTGAACCCTTGTGAGTTGCTATCTTCAGCTGTTTTTTTCTTTTCTTTGCAGCCATCCTGCATTTCACCCTTTGTACTTTGGGCACCCCATAAATAAAAGGGGTATTATTAAACTTGTTTAAAGAAACAGAAGGACCTATTGAATGCACACATGCCTCCCAGTAATCAGCCCAAGGTTTGAATATAGAAGATTTGCACTTGGATTCGCCTTTATATTTTCTGTGAAAAAAGAGTGTGACTCACAAAAGAGCTGTTAGGGTGGCTGTTTGCGATTAGTGATAAACCCAGGAGCAGATTTTTTTTAGATGAAAGTTTATAGATCTTATCTCCATCTGTAATTGCATCTCTCTCCCACAGATATTACACCTATATAGGAAATGACCTTTTCTCACCCTAAAATATATTGCAGCTAATTTTATGCAATACCTGATTAATCAACCAATAAAAGAGTCAAAGGGAGATCTTGACATTGGAATAAATCCATCCAATCAGTAGGCTCTACATAGAGAGGTAACATCAGGGCTCCCAAACATGGGGCAGAGACACAGAAAGGTTCTTGGTGTAACTAACGGGAGGAATAAATTGTTAGAGGGAACTTCATGGAGAGAAAAGCTCTTTACCCTGCTGGGATGTGGGATGTAGCTAAACGTGCTTTTATATTGTTAAGGGTTATAAAAGCTACTTCTGCCTATTGCAAGAACAGTCTTTATTGAGCAGCCTACATGTACATAACCTAATACTACATGTACATAGTGAAGTCAGTTGTTCTCTGTTGTTGAGCAATAATTGGTGATGAAAGACTCTTTTGTTTTTCCTCGTGGGTTTTTTTTTTAAACTCTTTCTTCTTCAGACTGTGTAAAATTCCTCACTTTATGATTGTTCATATTAATCTTTATTTTCATGTTGTATCTCTAGATTGAGGTTTTCTGCAAAATACCAATTGGTTTGGGACTATTGTGTGTGTAAATGTTTTCAAAATTATTCAAGGCAAAAACATTTATAATGCTCAAAGAGGGGTTTGTTTTTTAAATTGTACTGAAAGATTCTAAAAATGTGACACTTCTGCAATTCTGCTGTTGTTTTTTGTTTAAGTAAAAGTTAAAAGAAGCAGGTCGCATAGTCCTGCCTAATGGATTTAAAATGAAAGAAGTAATTTTTTTCTCCCTTAAAATATATATTTTAAGATCGAATTCTGCAAATCTTTACTTACTTATTGATTTTCTGGGAACTAAGGCCCTGAACCTCAGAAATGTGTTTCTAACTTCCATTGATTGATTAAAAAGAAATGTTTGCCATATTGGGTCCATAGTTTGTAGTGTAACAACAAGTTCTTGATATCAAACTGTCATTCCAGACAGAAGCAGATGTTAATTTTTTTGTTTTTGTTTTTGTTCTGTTTTTTGTTTCAAGGCAGTTGTTAAAAATTGAGTGAAATCCTGTTTACAAAGGCCATGACTACTTAGAATTACTTAAATCTGATATAAAATCTTTAAGCCTTTCATCTCCTGCATGTATGAAAAATTCTTCCTTTGCGTCCTGACAAAATGAACACCACACCCTCTCATAGCTCTCAGAGGAATCTCTCTCCTCGGCTGCAGAGGCTGTGGAAGTTATTTGAAGGAATTAAAAAAAACCTCACCTAGTACCAACACTTCTCTGAAACTTTTTGCTAAATGTAGGCTACAGTGTGGTTGTTTAAAAAAAGAACCAACATAAAGAACAGTTGAAGATGGAAAAACAATTTCCATTCTGATCAGATGCAGAGAAAATCTAAAGAGAGATCTTGCATTTGCCTCATGGAAAAGCCAAACAATCAAATGGTTTTGGATTTACATATAAATGTGTGCAATTTTTATCTTCAGTGCAGACAGGCAGACTGAAATCTCCCCTTTTTTTTGCATTGTTCATTCATTTGCATTTATAAATTCACATGATTGAACTTCAGCTGCTTATTGCTACTTGAAACATTAATCCTCCTTATGTCTTTTTTCAAGCATCTTTATTTAATGATAGAAAGGAAGCATCCTACTGATACTGAAGACATTTGTATCAGCAGCATAAGTTAACTTCTGTTGCCAAGCATTTTGATGGTTAACATAGTTGATTGAGACAGATTTGTGGTCAAATTAATAGCAAGATTCCTAAATGAGGTAGTACTGAAATGAATAATAGAGCAGGACTAATGATGACCAGTTTCTATATTTGAGATGGTTAAAGAGGCATTACATGAAAAGAGCTGAGATGTGTCAAATATATTTAACAAAGATTCTGGGTGACAGAAATTGATCTTAACTTGATGACAGTTTGATGGTACTTGTCAGTAAAATAAGCTTTCCATATTGTTGTTGGTCTCAGCTGCTAATGGGTCAACAGAACTCTTTAGCAATCTGTTCATACTGATTTTGTGTCACACACGATGTGCAAGATACATCCACTATACAAAATCTCTGGGGGTTTAAATCCTCACACGGCACCTCCCTTTCAACCTGATAGCTGGGTCCAGACCTACTGAGCCTACTCAGACTTCAGTGGAAGCACTGTCTTGAGGAATTCAGTATTGGATCCTATGTTTGGATATGCACCCTGCTGCACGTAGTTTAAAATCATTTGTGACTGGATGGCTAAGCAAGAGCAATGACTTCATTCAAGCCTGTCATTTTTCTTTCTCCTGTAGATGATAAACTAGTTTGCCGTACTGCAGTCAAACTTCTGACTTGCAAAGCTAGCTGAATGGTCAAGTGAAAGTTGTTTGAGGATTGTTGCAAACCAAGGACTCATTTTATGATACTGAAATGGTGGTGTAAGTAGTATTACCCCTTGTATTTTTTAAACTATTTTGTTCTTGTCTGTTTTTGCTGATTGCCTACCTTTCCCCACTGGTTGCTTTGCTTTCACCTCCCTAATCTGTGCCGTTGCTCCCCTTTGGCTTTGACTTCATCTCTCCTCTTCTCCCACTGTTGTTGTTGGTCCTCCTTTGACCATGACTCTGTAGCCTGGTGGTGAGAACATTGACCTACGTGTAGGAGGGCCAAGGTTCAGTCCCCCTGCTCCATTTACTCTACTCCTCTGCTGCTCCCTTCCAGCCTCACCTTTTTATTCACTCTTACTCCTGCTCCGTTCACCAACAAAAAACCTATATAAGCCATCTGCAGTTCTTCCTGTGTGTCATCTCCCTCCTTTATGGTGACACTCATTCCAGTCTTTCTTCCATCTCCAGGATGCGCTACAGACTCTCTCTCCTGCCCCACACACGTTTCCCATACCCTTTCCTCCTTCCCTGTTACTAAGTAAGGTTTCTAACTGTTCCTCTTTCTAACCTCTTCTCTTGTGCCCCTAGCCCTACCTCCATCCTGGCTATTAACTTCTCTCTCAGCCTGTCACACAATTCTGGCCATTTTTCCTCACAATATGTGTGTGTGTGCTGGGTTTCCGCATGTTCATAATAGGCTAGTAGGGAGCTGAGGGATGGTAGGTGGCATTGCTCTAAGGGAGCAGTGAATGTGAGAGTGCAGAGGACATCAGGCAGGTGTGGAGAGGCTAAGAGAAAGAGTATTGAAAAGAACTAATGGGATCTTCATGACTTGAAGAAGTCTCTTCATTGAATCAGGGTGTGGCAGAAGGCGGCAATGATTACCATGCAGAGAGAAGCAAGAAAAGCCCTTAGCGAGCCTCGGAGAGAAGCACTGGCAGCTGCTCCAGCAGGAGGGCAGGCACGCAGCAGGCAGAGTCAGAGTGACTGACCCTGGGACAAGTGAAGAATGTACCAATTGGGTTCCCAGTTGGTGACCCTGCCCCAAATAGGGCCAGTGGTATTTAACATAGAAACCAGACTCCCTTTCAAGAATCCGGCTTGGATTTGATTGCCATGCAGCTTTCCCAGCCTTAAACACAACTGCAAAAACTATCCAGCCTGGCTGGCATTTGTTTTTGGTAAACATGAGAGAGAATGGGGCTTGTTCTAGGAGAACTGATCTTCTCCTCAGCTTCAGGGCCTCTTCTGTGTGTATAGGATACACACATGCCTGTCAGCATGGTTCACTCTAAATTGTGCAGCATCACACCCGCACAGCGGCTTAATCAGCCCTGCCCAGTCAGGCAAGCTACATGCGTGGAGCTTTGAACCCCTGACTGAGCGATGCTGCTGCACAGCTTAGAAGGAACCTTGCCCCTCATCTTCACACTTCAAATTCATATAATGCCTTCACTCATTTCTTGTCAAGCCCCGCCCTTAACACACCACCTCTATGAATACTACCAATCAGCGTATACTCTTTGAATGACTTCTTGTCTTTCAACCAAGAATCCCCACGCTGTTCTACACCTTTCCTTGCACTATCTTGTTTTATCTTGTTATTACAGCCTAGTCCTGGGAGCTGCTGAGCGCTGCCTTCCCTAAGTATTCTCACTTCTTACACCTTACGTTGGAATCGCTTGAGAACACGCGATCCCCTTGGTTCTTTGCTGGCACATTCAGAGATGGGATGTCTTCTGCGAAAAAATATCCTTGCTGTAATGAAAACAAGGGGGGGAAACTAACCTTTTTGCAACAGGTAAAAATAAATGGATGTTTCCCCCATGAGCTTCTTTTAAAATATTGGTAGGGAAGGAGCCTAATGGGTAAAGGTGGGGTGAACAGACACATCTGTCTGTTTAATTATGCTGCCCATCAGCCTCCATATAAAATCAATAACGCTATTGAAGTGCCTAGTGGATGTCCCGGAGCCTCTGGCCTTTTTCCAATGTAAAAACTTGGCTTGGGTTATGATTTTTGGTGGAGTTTAAATTTAATTCTTTTTGGGGGGGAAGACTGGTACAACTTTTTCTACCCAATAAATTTGTAAGTAGCATATCATTCTTATCCCAACAACCTTATATACATCTATTTTTCTTTCTTTATTGGTAAAGCTGGTATTGGGTATCAGGATTCCTAGGGTCTCTTATTAGCTCTGCTTCTGACTTGCTGTGAACTTTTAATAAGTCACTTCATTGTGCTGTGTCTCTTTTTTTTAATATAAATATTGTTTTGCCGCCAAAGGGGCTTGTAAGAGCTAATTGCCATCTGCAGACCATGAAATCCCCCAACAAAAAAAGCCACAGAAGTGCAAAATGAGATTATTTTGCGTGTTTTGTAGTTTTTTGCATTTGTGTTCTTCTGTAGTGGCTCTACAGGCTGTAGTGTGATTCATAGCTCCAGCACAGTCTGATTTGTATGCTGAGAACTGCATATAAAGAGCCTAGCATGGTACAAATTCAAAAATTCATTGCATCCAGCCGGCTTGATTAAGTCATATGTTACTGTCAAAATCTGGACTGTTCATATGGCTTTGTCTGCATTACCAGTTGAACAGCAAAACTTTTGTCATACACAGGTGCTTTAAAAATCCAGGCCTGTATGCAGGGTGGGTGCGAACAGTGAGAGAGCACCCCCCCATGGTCCCTCAAGTAAGTACACTCTGGCCGGCCAGGGGAAGGCAGGAGCGGTGTACTGCCTGAGCCTCCTTCTCCCATGCTTTGGCTGGCCGGGGGAAGGCTGGGGCTGATTTCCCTGCATACATGGGAGCCATGGGGGTTCATTCACACCCTCACAGTCCACATTTACAAAAAAAAAAAGCTCCCCTTCCATGAAATTCCTGCGTAGGGACCTAAAATCTTCCCACCTCACCTAAAAACAAAAGTTTTGCCACAGCAAGAACAGCTTGTCAGTAGGAGCTCTCTTTTGTCAACAACATGAACCCCACTCATAGAGCATGAAAGTATTTTGTTCCCAAAACAGTACCAACAAACAGCATTCACATTGCCAGACTTTTAATGATACGGCCATGTTGCTAAAAGCTGTGTAGTGTAGACAAAGCCTAAATAGCCAGCTATATATGCATCCAGGTAATACACCACCAGTTTCGTTGGCAGCTGTCTTGAGCCACTATGCTGATCCTCCATCTGCTCAGACAGTGATACAGTACTTTCCCAATGGTGGTATTAAGTCAGAGCATTTTTTGGTTACTCTGCTGCTAAAATATATAGTGTATTGTAGACGCTTACAGATCAGTTACCTTACATTCTGGTTTCCTGTTTGTATTTTAGAGGGGGTATTGTTTTCTTCTTCATCATCAACAACCATGAGCTCAGAACCCGTTGGTGTCCGATACCTCCCTCGCTATTTCCTTCCATCTTTCCCTGTCCAGTGCAGAGTGGCTTAGTTTCTGTAGACCAGCTCTGCACCAATCTACTATATCATCTACCCATTCTCTGTGAGGTCTGCCTCGCCTATTCTGACCATCCATTATACCGAATACAATATATCGAAAGATCCATCCTAGTCTCAGGATCTTTCTATAACAGCTCCTCTCGAATGCCAATATTCTTCTCTTTGGATCTTTTGTTATCATCCATGATTCACATCCATACAATATGTTGCCAAATACACATGTTTTCAAGGTGCTCAGCTTCGTTCCTAAGCTAATAGCTTTACTTTTCCAGATCTTATCTATCGCCTTTAAACTCGCTTTTGCTTTCACTATTCTAGTCGCTATTTCCTTCTTACAGTCTGATCATACGTCCTGTTGCTCCTCAAATACGTGATCTTCTCTACGTTCTCTAGTTCGATCCCATCTACACTGATCTTCCTTCCTATTTCCTTATCTCCAAATACCATTGTCTTCGTTTTATCGATATTCATAATCAGTCCATATCGCTTCCTTTCTTCATTTAGCACCTGCACCATTCTTGCTAACTGGTTAAATGCTGTCTCTACCAAACAGCATGCTTTTGCATTGTGTGATAGTTGGAAAATTGATGGAATTCAGGGGTTCAGTCAGAAGACAGGTGTAGCCAAATAACCTTTGTTCATTTTTTAGGCCCGACTATTCAAGCATGGGTACTTAAAGTCACACACATGAATGAGGTATCTAAATACACACATTTAAGTGGCCTGACTTTTAAAGATGTTGAAAACACAGAACTCCCTTTGAAGGCAAAGGAAATTAAAGGTGTCAACCCCTCTGAAAATAAGACCACTTATGTGGGAGCATAAATATGGATTTTGGCACCTAACTTTAAACACCCAAGTTTGAAAATGTGAGCATTAGTGTTTGTTTAACTTCATAAGAATGATTCACTTTGAAGCTTATGTAACAGTCACGGTCTCATTCCATCAAGGATCTCTTCAGTGTATTTTTCATTAACTTTAATCAAAGGCAGAGATTAGGGATGTTAGGGTATGTCTACACTACCCCCCTAGTTCGAACTAGGGGGGGTAATGTAGTCATACGGAGTTGCAAATGAAGCCCGGGACTTGAATTTCCCGGACTTCATTTGCATAAAGCCGGCCGGCGCCATTTTTAAATGCTGGCTAGTTCGGACCCCGTGCCGCGCGGCTACATGCGGCACGGACTAGCTAGTTCGGATTAGGCTTCCTAATCTGAACTAGCTGTACGCCTCGTTCCATGAGGCGTACAGCTAGTTCAGATTAGGAAGCCTAATCCGAACTAGCTAGTCCGTGCCGCGTGTAGCCGCGCGGCACGGGGTCCGAACTAGCCGGCATTTAAAATGGCGCCGGCTGGCTTTATGCAAATGAAGCCCGGGAAATTCAAATCCCGGGCTTCATTTGCAACTCCGTATGACTACATTACCCCCCCTAGTTCGAACTAGGGGGGTAGTGTAGACATACCCTTAAAGGCTAATCGATTACCCAGTTAGCATGTGCCTTACTGGCTAACCAGTTAACCAGAGGGGAACCTCCTGGGCCCCGCCAGGCCAGCGCAGCCCCCACAGCATGGCAGGGTGGACTGGAGCAAGCTCTGC